AAAGCTGACATCATGCACGTAGGAAGGTGGACAAAGACAAAACACTTGAAAAGTGACACTGCTGTTACCATTGACACCCCTGGACAGTCTCTGCCTTGGAAGAATGAACATCGCTCAAGACAAACCTGGCTTCTCCTGCCACAGCCAACCATGTGCCAGCAGTTGTGTTGCTCTCCCACCCCATCCACTGCAGAGCTAGAAGGAAAGCCAGACAGTAAGGAAAATTCTGCTAGGACACTCCAAATCTTTAGAGTGACAGCAAAACTTCTGCAAAGTGGTAGAAACCCATATCGCAGCAGTCAGCATGGCACTCTACCTGGTTTATTGACCAAAAAACCAGAGGGTAAAATGCTGCTGCTGACCACCCCTGCCCCCAGGACTCAATCTCTTCAGTCTGAGATGCTTGTTCCCACTCCCACTGCAAGATGAATGCTGAACACCCCATCCCTGAGATGCTTTGATTACTCTCCTCCAAAGACAGATCTGAAGAAATTCTTGGAGGAACACTGATGCAGGCAGAAGTGCAAGCTACTTCTCCGACACATTTGACACAAGGTGCTCTGGCAACGGTCCCTTTCCTTCCTGCATTCTGACAACACTGGTGAAGAAACTGGACCTAGAAGTTACACATGGTGAGTTCTTTTTATGTGCTCTCAAATTCAGCCTGACAGACAAAGCTTTTGCATTCTTAACTTTCTCCCACTACGTGGATTTTACCAACAGGCAGTTAGTGTTAAGCTGCTGCTACTGAAAGGGAGAAAACAGTAACAGGAGTAAAGCAAAAGGATAAAGAGACTGGGCTCCTTAGATGTGAGAAAACCTGTAAAGCTGAGTGGCTGGACCTCTGTAGCTCTTGGGTCCTGTCCTAATCAGTAAGCTTAGGTTTCATAATTTTTCCTAACAATCTATTCTCCTTGATGGCATGGCTCTAGTCTACATGCTGTATTTTTACATGGCTCTCCTGCATCCTTGACTTCCCGACTGCTTTCCCAGTTCTGTCAACAGACTGTGTGCTGGTGCTTTCACATACTGTGTTTTAAGCTCTGCTCTCCCTTACAGCTGAACCACTACTACAGTTCCTTCTCTACTCTGCAGTTTGTGGGCTCGCTCACACAGAAGGGAAGGAAGGAGAGACATGCTTAAAGCAGAGACTGAATATCTTACTCCCTGGGTCAGAAGTTGTTCTACGAAAGCAATACAGTATGCAAAGGAAAATCAATTGCTTTTCTGATCATTGTAGCAGTGATGTGGGATCTGCAGGATCGGTCATCTGCTCGTAGTTCACAGGCCATGGATTTCTCCAGGTAGGGGATAGCATGTGTTTTTTGCTTTCTGTCTATGATGCAGCCAAAGGCTTATGAAAGCACTGCCCAAGACAGCAAAGCCAGTAAGGGATCCCAGTAGAATGGGTATCAGCATGGCAGAATCAGGACCTAGAAATAAAGATGTAATCAAGCAGTGAACAGCATTAAGAAAGGGAAGGAGAAGAGCATGTTAAACTCCCATTTGTCTTTATAGCATGCCAAGCAGGTATGGTTAAGTTTATTTCCATAGAGCAGTCTGAATGGGTAGTGCCTTTTCAAACACACTACCTTCTTTGCCATAAGATCTCAGCAGTAAATATTCCTTGTATAAACAAGACACAAGAAATTAGATGACTCTCAGGAATGGTGGCAATGTATTTAAGAAGTCTTTCATACTTATGATATGCCAGGTTCAGCATCATGCATTTCTAAAAGCTGGGCAACACCTAATTAACATTAACCAGCTACTCTATTTTACCTCTGAACAGAAAGAAAAAAGAAAATGCTCCTGACTCATTACCAGCTTCATTCTGTATCTAACGTTCTTAAGTTAGATTTTTGTCCAGTTACGTGTGGATGGTGTTTCCTTGCTGTACCAAATAACTACCTCTAAATATGGGGACTCTTCCCTAAGCTCAGTGCAAAAAAATCACTACATTGCTCTTTCATTCTAAAAGCTGCAAGGCTAAGACGAAAAATATCTAAAAGGAAGCCCCTATATCCAGATTCCTCCCATCTCATCTAAAACACAGACACCTGAAGGAAAGAGTTAGTGGATGTGTCTTATAATTATTTTAATAACATTCCTCATCCTCAGTCAACATTTTTCACCAAAATACTGCAACATGCAGGAAAATTCTTTTCAGCTAGAGGATATCCTGCCTTACTTTTCTCCCCTCTTCTCCTCCTCTTAAGATTCTGTTCCTGCAGAGGATACATTTGGCTGCCTCCTGTCTGAAAGTCTATTGGATCTGATACTGATAAACCATCATGTTTGGGATTTAGGAAGGCTAAAACAAAAATGAGGAGCTGTTGGGATATAATCTAGTCATACCAGGTGGCTGTCAAGAAAGTTGTTAAAAGTGTCCCGTTTTTCTTACAGCAGGAAAAGTCTAACAGAAACTTCTGCTTTACAGAGAGGAAAAAAAACCCAAACAACCAAAACCCCCAAAACAAACAGGAGACTCACCTTCCACAGGTTTATATATAAACTTGTTCTTCATTCTCAAAACTGGACCAAATGAGATCAGGTTGTGCAGGTTTCCATAGCTGTTCCTGTCACTTGGCTGGAGTAGCGGCTCCCCACCTTTAAAAATGCTGAAAATGAAAAACACTTGAAAGCATACTGGCAGCACCTGAACAGCCCATATGTAAATCTCTCTTCCCCAATTCCTTTTCCCTAGGGATTAGCACCTATTGCCACCATTTCATATCACTGACTCCTCTTCCAGACTTTTAACAAAGGGATTGACCAGATATGGGATGATCCTGATGTGGTGACTTTGTTACAAGTGATGGTTGAGTTCTTTCCCAGAGAGTCCAACTCTCTCTTTAGGCCCCATCTGTAGACGTTCATCCTTCACATGCCCATGCAACTGATTTTCTAATTCCTGCCAAAGCTTCTTTAAAGCAGCCTCAGCCTGAGTAGCTGAATTTTTAGAGCTTTTCTAGCTCTACTGTGCAGCTCAACCACTCAAACTTTCATGAATCTCTCTTGTGATATCCATCTCAAATACTTCTCTGCACTGCTTCTGTAGTGCTATGCCTTTTAAATCCACAGCATGGCCTATGGCTAAGTATGTGCCATAGTACTGTGCCAAGTGTTTCACAGAAGCCTTATCCCTGAGCCCTCCAAGTTTGTGGAAGCCTGAAAACTTCCATATCCCAGACACAGGATAATCCAATATAGAGACAGATTTGAGCCCTTTCATGTAATTCTACAACACAAAATTACATAGCTCTGCTGAGCCTTTTGCTTGCAATTCTCCTAGAAGGTTGTTACTTGCTTATTTGTTGATATGATTCTTTTGTTGATTACACAAAGCAGCAGTAAATTGTTTGTGATTGTAAAGTGCAAATAAAACACCGTGAGCTCAGTTAGTTTATCTGAGAGTAGAAATTCACTTGGGGCTTTCAGAGACACGGAGTATGTAGGAGATAAGAAAGTACTGTATGAGCTGGAAGAAGGTGGAGCTCTGTAATCTACCATCAAGATTCTGTACTGAATCAGCTGTACTTGCTAAAAGCACCAAATCTTTCCAGAAGTTCCTCAGACCAGTGAGAGCAGACCAGTCTCACGTACCTGTTCGCACCCGGATTTGCCGTGCTGACAGACATTAAGCTCACAGTGCAAATAGGCCACTGAATGGTTCAGCATCTGGAACAGCTGGATAGTGAAGCTAGCAGCTCTGGACTTACTGCTCTGCAGTAACTGGATGTGTCTACATTCAAACGGCAACCTGGCAAGGACAAATGGCAAACAGTTTCAAATTCCAGCTCTCCCTGACTAAAGGCAGGGGAAAGGGGGATCTGCTGACACAGGTCTGCACAAATTCTAAGGCAGGTACCTGCATCTATGGAGTCAAACAAAAATCAATCCACAAAATGTCAGTGTCTCAGGCTGTACCTGTCCCTGCTGTGGAGGCCACAGTCCTAGAATTGTTTCTTGGAGGTTATTTTTGTTACAACCATTAAAATGGCAGCTGTGATGCGATAGCAATTCCCTGACCTAGACAAATCCAGAAGCACTGCAGAGGTGATCTCCTGCTGCAGTAGATATGGACAAATGAGAAAGCTCTTTTACTGATAACAATAGCGTGTACCACTTCTAATGCATACTTCATGCCCCAGTAGTTTTACAAACATCAGCTAATGAATCTTCCAGTTTCCCTGTGCTCAACCCAGACAGGTTAGGCAAGAATAGTCATGAAATGTTAGTGGGGCAATGGAGGCCTGTGGAGAAGCCTGGCTTCTATCCTTAGCCTGCTCTGCTCCGAGGCTGTGCTGTTGCCTAGCAGGAAGTGCAGGAGGATGCTCTAAGCTTGACATCTGTAACAGCACAGCGTGGAAAAGCAGGACTGACTGCTTATTTACATAAAGCAAAGGGTGATTTTTTTTTTCCCTGAGGGCTCTTTGTCTTACCAGTCTCCTAGTATTAATGACAAGACAGCTAAGGGACCAGAGCACTCTTGGACTCATTCTCACTGCTTTGAGCTTCCTCTGAACTCTGAAGAGATCAGACTCCAGCCACAGGGTACAAAAGAGAGCGTCCCCTAAGGATGAGCCCATGCCCAGCCAAGGCCCAAATGACCATGTGAAGCTACACCCATCCCTGCAGCCCCGTGTCTGACCTGTGGAACAGGCAGCACATCGCGCCTGGTCCCCCCGCGCTGGCGGAGGGCGTCACACAACAGGACCGGATCTGGAGCATGGGCTGGCTGCTGTTGCTCTGCACAGCAATTAAAGCCAAGAAAGTCTCCTGGGAAGCCACTGAACCTTCAACCTCAGGGTCTGCTTCTGCAGCCGGGCGCAGGCTCATTTGTACAGTGTAGTTACCGGAGCCACAGACATCATAAGTGCAGGAGGATGCTCTAAGCTTGACATCTGTAACAGCACAGCGTGGAAAAGCAGGACTGACTGCTTATTTACATAAATCAAAGGGTGAAGGGTGATTTTTTTTTTTCCCTGAGGGCTCTTTGTCTTACCAATCTCCTAGTATTAATGACAAGACAGCTAAGGGACCAGAGCACTCTTGGACTCATTCTCACTGCTTTGAGCTTCCTCTGAACTCTGAAGAGATCAGACTCCAGCCACAGGGTACAAAAGAGAGCGTCCCCTAAGGATGAGCCCATGCCCAGCCAAGGCCCAAATGACCATGTGAAGCTACACCCATCCCTGCAGCCCCGTGTCTGACCTGTGGAACAGGCAGCACATCGCGCCTGGTCCCCCCGCGCTGGCGGAGGGCGTCACACAACAGGACCGGATCTGGAGCATGGGCTGGCTGCTGTTGCTCTGCACAGCAATTAAAGCCAAGAAAGTCTCCTGGGAAGCCACTGAACCTTCAACCTCAGGGTCTGCTTCTGCAGCCGGGCGCAGGCTCATTTGTACAGTGTAGTTACCGGAGCCACAGACATCATCACTCACAACTGCAAA